ATTATTATTATTATTATTATTATTATTATTATTATTATGGCTATAAATAGTAAATCTACTCAGTGAGTACGTCTTAATTGGCATTGTAATTCTAATTTGATTTTAACTTAATTAATCAATTTGGTGTGTTTGAAATCTGAATGAAAAAAGGGAAATACATAAATCAAATTAAATTATTACTAGCAAATGTACTTCCTACCATTGCACAAGTATTTATACTATGATTGTATCAATTCATTGCCCTGGAGATGAACAGTCTTATGGAATATAATTTTAAAAATGGTGGAAAGTTTTATGGAATCTAATTTTAAAAGCAAGTAATACCTATAAACCGTAAAACAGGGTTCAAATCAAATTCCATGCAAAATGGAACAAAACTGGAAAATTTTCTGGAAAACGAATGAAGCTTGAGATTAATCATAAATTTGTGTGAAAATAGCAAAGATATCAAGTTGTTCAAATATCAGTTTGGGTCAAAATTGGTACATAAATGCACATTCAAGAACAAAACACACGCACACATATAGATGCACACAAATATTCAAAGGGAAGCTGAAGTAGTTGGTGGTATGGTCTTTTTTAGGTTCCATTAGGTAGACTGTCAAACTAGTTAAGCCTGTCATCATCCAGGTGGATTCATTTACATAACAGACAAACACTTCAAATTGAAAAGTACATATGACTTGATGCCATTATGCATATCTATGGCTGGCTTTTCAAATAGGAAGTGTGCCATATCTCTATATTGTATAGCAAGTAGCATTCTGCTGTCACCATATTAATGTAAATTGGTAGTAAGAGCAGCATTGGGACTGGAATAATGGTTTATATTTTACTGACTATATATCTGTTCATGCCCCACTCCTGCTTTGCTACATTGGTTTTCTCAAAGTCGAATGACTCCCTCTTCCTGTTTAAAGGTTGTGAGAAAATGCAAGATCCTACTCAGACCCAGCCTCAAGTCTTCCTTTATGTCAGTGCAGCTGAGTTTGCCTTTATGAACTTGGGAGCATGACTGGCTCTTTCAAAGAGGCTAGCATTTCGCTCATCTGAAGGAGCCTGGAATGTGACAGGGGAAAGGGAGGAGACATAAATCAAAGCAGATAGCAATTCGCCAGATGTAAAGTATTTTTCTTCATCCCCCTCCTTTCACTCCTTCCCTACTCCCCTCATCCCTAACACATACATACTTTTCTTTCCTACCAGAAATTTTGGAATGTTTGCTGACATTTTAATTCCTTTATGTAGCAAAGGTACTGACACACCACGCAAGCACATAAGGCTTTCTCTTGCTCCTGCTGAAATACCAGTGGGAGTTTTGCCTTGAATCTTTGCAGGGATCATTTGAACTTCACACACACACACAACAGATGGTTTGAAATTTCAACTCAGCATGAACTTCAGTAGAAGTTATTCATACTTGCAAAATGTTTACCAGTTTACTTGTAGGCTGGATTTGATAGCGTTGTCTATATCCTCCACTTTGCCATAGGACAAAAATAAAGTCTATGATTTTCTCCCATTTTATTGGGAGTAAACATTCATAAAAGTCAGTGCTTACTTTTTTGTGCACCTTTCTAGAAATACATTGCCCCAAATCTCCCTGATATGTAAACATCATTTCATAAAACACCATTGATGCTACAGAATCATCCCCAAAAATATATACTATGGGCACTGATTAATAAGTTATGGTTGAAATGAATTGAGTGTTTAAGACAGGCCTGGAGGATCTTGGGGCCTTCTGTTATTTAGACAATAATTCCTACAATCCCTATTGTTACTTATGTTGGCTGCAACCCACCATCACTGATTACGCATCCATCCCACTAAGAATCACAGAATCCTAGAGTTATGATTATATGGCAAGGGATAGCATTTATCATGATTGTTGTGTCCTTGGTTTATGGCAACCACCAGATACAAAATACTGATGGTTGTCACTCATTGCATGTACTGATGCTGGCTAGAGCACCAAAGCAATCAGATAAGTGAGGAGTGAAAGGAGGGAGCAATTCCTCCACTCATCTGCTGCATCACTTGGCACTTCAGCCAGCATCAGTACATGCAATAAACAGCAATGGCCATCAGTAATTTTGTGCCTGGTGGTTACTGCTAAGCCCAGGATACAACAGTCAAGGTAAGGATAACATTTCTGCAGTGCCAAACCAGGTTCAGTGCCACTAGGCCATGAGGATACCTTCCTACCAGGGTGGTCCAGTGGCAGGCTGTGCAGACTCCACAAGGGCTTTTCTGGAGTACCCCACTCCTGATCAACTCTGTCATAGATGGCCCATGTGGATGGATTCTAAGACATGATACACAAGAGATGTGCCACCAGAATTGCTGCAGATCACCGTTAATTGCAACAATTCCAGTGGCTCTCAACCAGGGGGCATGGGAATGTGTCGCCCCATGCTCTGCACTGTCCCAGTGCCCCCACCCCCCACCTCATCACACAGAGGGAAGCCTCTTTCAGCCGACTCAACCTCCAGTTGATCTCCGCCTGCAATTTTTTGGTGCCAGCAGGGTTTGGTGACATTTCCACCACAGAGCCACTCCAGAAGTACTTTTCCAGGGTGTGATGGGAGCCATCAGACTCCATGGCAGACCTGAGAAACACCTGCCGCCAAATTTTGGGCAGTGTGAAGAGATCCCAGGACAAGAAAATGGCATTTATGGAGGTAATTGAGTCCAGTAGATACTGCCTAGATTTCTCCCTCTCTGTGGCCAGGGCAGTTGTGTGAAGAAAAACCAATTCATCTGCTGCTTGGCATGATTGTGCTATTCTTATCTCTTCTTTGCTCCCTCTGAGGTCAGGGCAGTCATAGTTGGATAGCTCGAGAACCTTTCATCTGCTTCTGGACCCAAGCATGATAGAGGTGTTTCACTACTTCTTCTCTCTGTGCAAGCCTCTGTACCTCCCCAGGACTTCTTTCCAGAAATAGATGGGTTCAGAGGCTGAAAAGGGAAAGGGACACCTCATCTCCTAAAATTATTTCCATAAATAGAAGTCTTCCCTGGCTGTGTCCTTCTGGAAAGCCTAATCTTTTTCCTGATCTTATGAGAATAAAAAAGTACCAGTTCATTGACACATTAGCAGTGTTAAAACCAACTAAGAAATGACCAACCCTAAACTAAAGTGGGTTGTGTATGTGAGTGGGAGAGAGAATTCGTGTGTGAATATGTGATAGATTGGGTACAATTTGGCTCTGTAAGACCCATTATCATGTTGTTGATCTGTGTTCCCATTCATTTTAACTCTGATAACCTGTGAGAATTTCCAAATGGATCATGCTGTTATTGGTTCAAAGTATATTTCTATTTATTTTTAATGAAAAATCTCTTCAGCCCCAAGCCAGTGTGGCCAATGGCAGAGAAATATGTTTCTTTTCTATTCACTCCTTATATAGACCCACAAATCTTTTATTGTATTTCTCAACTGGATCCAGATTTTTGATCATTCTTAGAGTAGACCTGTTAGAGCCAGCAAGATTTAATTTAGTCACATGAATCTATCCCATTAATTTCAAATGTCCTGCTTAGTAAAATTAAGTCAGGTTCCAACTCGTGATTTCATTACTTCTATCGGATTTTAGACTTGAGTTAAATAGCAATTTTCAAGTAATAACACTTAATCATTTAATAAATGCATTTCTTTAACAATCCATTCCATCTTAGCTTCTGCCATTAGGACAGCACACTTTGAAAAATTCAAATAGATAAACATGGAATTATAAAAGAGTGAACATGGAATGGCTAGACGCTCCTACTGGAAAAATGAGTTTAACGGGAAGACACTGGTGATTATATGTTTTTAATTGTTTTTTGTATGGATTTTATAATGTTATGCTAAATGTTTTTAATTGTTTTTATGACTGTTCTGGCATCAAATTGCTACCAATTTGTAAGCTGCCTTGAGTCGCCTTCAGGCTGAGAAAGGCGAGATAGAAATATCGTAAAAATTATGCAAAATTCTCACGAATCGTTTTTTTCTTTCTGATACAGTTTTCCTTCTCTGGAATCCTGGGAATAAACATGATGAGCATTATTTCCTTCTCTAATAAAAAAAAATATAGAAACATAGGTAAAGGTAAAGGTTTTCTCCTGACATTAAGTCCAGTCATGTCCAACTCTCCATTTCTAAGTTGAAGAGCCAGCGTTGTCCGTAGGCACCTCCAAAGTCACATGGATTTGAACCGGTGATGTTTTGTTCAGCAAGTTCAGCTGCTCAGTGGTTTAACCCACTGTGCCACCAGAGGCTCCTGTAGAAATACAGTTGTATGTGTGTGTGTGTGTGTGTGTGTGTATACACACACACACACACACACACACGCACACACATACACCTACACACATAAATCCACAAGGATTTTCTATAAAGTATTTCCAGGCAGCATGTCCATTGACCATGTTGGCTGAGAAATCTTGGGAGTTATATTTTAAAAGCAACATTTTAAAAGTCTGAAAACTTCCAAATCTATGCACCAGAAACAGACCTCCTTAAAGCAAACAGGAATTGCTGGCACTCTGAACTACAGTAATTTCCAGCTGAGTGTTATTAGCCTCTCTGAAACTCAGAGCAAAAGCAGCAACCAGGAATTGGTCCAAAGATGCTTTAGGACTGTGCTGTAGGTCAAGGTTAAACACCAAACGGTCTTTCTCTCAGATGCAGGAAGCTTCCCACCACACACCATTAAAGGGATAGGTTCTGAAAAGGTTAACATTCCAGCAACTCCTAGCATATCTGTTGGGACACGATGTTAAGAATAGAGCATTATCAAATCAATACATGCAGAGTCTTTAGGGAAAACCTTCCCACCCATTTTATGCCAGGTCTCCCATTTGTTAACTGGTGGAATGCTGTATTTCATTCACTGTGTAGAGCTTGTTCAAAGTTTTCCCTTACAGCTTTGACATAACAAATGTGTTTTTCTCAGCAGACTTCCTGTTTAATAAAGATTTTCTTCTTGTTCACCACACTGAGACCAAGCAATATATAGCAGATGTACTACATTAACAGGTTTATTCTTTTTTGCAGGTTTTACAATCATATTTCATCAACCAGTACAATTAAACATAATTTGGCTATTTGTTTAAGAGGGCTTTTTGAAATTGGCACATGGTGGCTGTATTCAGTCCTCATACATGATTATGCTTAAAAGTTATTGTTAAATAGCATATTAGGTATTTGCTTAAGCAGGCTCCATTGTACATCTGATCACTAACAAGGCTTCACACAGCAGCTTATTGTTGGATCCTTTAAATATGGAAAATAAAAATTGGGAAACAGAGGCAGCCGAGTTGCCCGACACTGGCAAAGGAAAAGATGCTGTTACATTACATGGCCCAGGAGATATTAGCAGTATGTTCTTTGGCTTTCATTCGTAGTACTGCAATACTGGAAGACCTCCGCTCAAATTCCGGCTTGGTTTCAAATGCATGTCCATTGGTTGTTCCAGAAAGTAAAGAGTCAGTGAAAAAATTATTGAGGGGAACATGGCTGAATTGGCTCTGATGGTTTGAAAAGCCCGAGTACCCAGAATCTGTCCGAGGCGAATGGGAATAAGGGGTCATACAAGAGGAAGTGTCACGTGGAAGCATGCAGGAGGTCACCACAGAACTGCTGGCTGCATTTCCTGCCCACAGGTTATTCTGGATCTGGAACACAGGAAAGAAAGCAAGTCAAAAACATACTTATTAAAATTATCTTACCATAGTCTTTCATTTACATTGGTGTTTGCCATTTATAGATCTGCCCATTATGCTCATAATACGGTAATATCACTTCTGTGATAAGGATGAACTTGATGTAAAATAAAATCCTATCACCAAAAATGTCGAGAATCAAAACTCGTCAATTTTCCAGAGAAAGGGCTGCACAGTTTTCAACACATCAGCAGTAACACAGTTTTTCAGTGTTGGCTAGTAAGAGGGTTGTATGCAGTGAAGATCCATGTCAGTTGGCTTGCCCTGTTTTTCAAAATTCTTTCTGAAAAAGAAGCTGCACTGGAAGCAGCTGGATTTCCTTTACTGTTTCCCTGGATTCAATGCCCCAGACTGTATTTTCATTTTACTTTCATTTTTTAATATATGATTTATTAAGAGTCCAAACATCTCTCATTATGAAGGAAAAAAGAGTCCCATTTTTGGACTTCCCATTGATTCCAGTAGTGGTTGAAGAGATACATTACCACACTTGCAGGTAAATCCCTGTCACTATCATTTGTTCTGCCATCTAATACTCAGAAATATATGGGGTGAGATTCTAGATCAACTATTTAGTTAAGTATACTTATAATCAACTAGTAAATAATACATAATACAGTCATACAGTAGAGTCTTGCGTATCCAACCTTCGCTTATCCAACATTCTGTATCATCCAACACAGTCTGCCTCCTGCCCGGATCCATAACTGTTTCAATACATTGTGATGTTTTGGTTCTAAATTCATAAATACAGTAATTACTGCATAACGCTACCATGTATTGAACTGTTTTTTCTGTCGATTTGTTGTAAAACATGATGTTTTGGGTGCTTAATTTGTAAAATCATAGCGTAATTTGATATTTATTAGGCTTTTCCTTAATCCCTCCTTATTATCCAACATTTTTGGCTATCTAATGTTCTGCTGGCTCGCTTATGTTAGACAAGTGAGACTCTACTGTATCTCCAACTCCAATTGTGAATTCATTCCTGAAAATGCTGTTTACTAATGATCAAATCTACTAGACATTCATTATTACTTCAACTTTTTTGTCCTTGGTATTCTTAAAAGGTTATCTCAGCTACAGGCCAGCAGTACTTCATGGAGTAATGAGTGTCTCGTTACTTAGACATGGTGTCTTAGACTTTCTGTCTGTCCTGAACCTGCTGCCAGCCAACTTCTCTGGGTGACTCCATGTTCTAAAATTATGAAAGAAAAAAAATTCTGACTATACTGTCCTCCCCATTTGTCATTTTGTAGAACTATATCACTTGATCAATTATTATTATTATTTATTTACAGTATTTATATACCGCCTTTTTCACCCCTGGGGGGACTCAAAGTGGCAAGTTAATGGTGCCATATGTACCATATGGCAAGTTAATGGTGCCATATGGTGCCAACCCTGTACTTTTCACCACACAGTTTTAGCGAATGAAACCAAGTTGCCTGTTAGCTAAAAAGAATGCAACTTCAGTGAATTACTGGAGCTCTCAGACTGAAATCCTTGGGACTATGACATTGTTTGTCATCTCATCCCAACTTTGTTTCCTTTTAATTTAGCTGCAATCCCAGACTAGCTGGATGAGAAATTAATTTTTCCAGTAACAATATACTCTGATGAAGACCCAAAGACCTCAACGGCGGAGCAGGCGGAGGATAACATGGCACATGTTACAACGGCTGCGAA